AAAATCCTTTATGTTCTAACTAAAATACCTCTTAAAGATAGAATACATGAAAATTAAAGAACTCTTTTGGGGCAGTAGAGGGAAACCCTTCAGTCTGTGGGGTGGTTTCAGCAATATATGTCAAAGAACTGCTACTTTCTTTACGTCCCCTCCACTACTTTGCGATACCTATAAGACCCTATTAAGTTAACAGACAAAGTGATACAACTTCCAGAGCCAGGACTCATACAGGCAAGGAATATACTCCATAAGCCATATGGGTTTCCACAGATGTGTTAACAGGTGAACAAGATGGTTACAATATTGCTAAGAAACACAAAAGGTGAATCAAGTGCTAATACAACAGGGGATCACCTACAAGAAACAGTGTAGAGAAGAGGAAATGCGCAGAACAGAGATGGAATGAAAAGAAAAAGGTTTGGGATAATCTTCAGTATGTCTTAAAAGAAAAAAAAAGAAAAAACAAAACAAAAACAAAATACAAAAATAAGACATGGAGGACACAGAACAATAATTAGTCAAACTATCATCTGATAGGTTCCACTGGCAGGCCTCGCTTTTTTAATTAGTTATTTTTCTGCTCAACTACCTAATGGCATGAATAAAGAGCAAATAGTTTGGCAGCATTAGAATTAAGTACAGCAGACAGTTGTTCTATTCCTTTTCAGTCTGCAAGGCACGACTTTGGGACACTATAGCACGAAACATTTTTCACTCCCGCACACGTGTTCATTAGCTGACCCCATTGGTGCAATTTTTTCCAGTCTAGGCATGAGGAAAGCTGTTCACCCAGCAGCAGTCAGAAAGCTGGACAGGGCTAGGATCAGCCACGGCCAGACACATACTGCTCAGCAGGCTTCTGGAAGGGAGTGATCTTCCTCTCTCCAGCAAGGAAAGCAGGATGGGCGGCTTTCAGTTTCAGAAACCAATTAGGCAGAAACTGCTATCAAAGCAATAGAGAGGGCCCTACCCTAACTGGGTTGAGAAACACCAGGTGGTATTATCTCGATCATTTCGCCTGTTTCAACAACCCCACTCATTCCTTCTCCCCGAAGGGGCCCAGGGTGCTCTTTTCCAAGGCTCTTCCCACACACCTACCTGGACATCACACGGTATTAAACTCAACTGTCACCTAGACACCACAGGCTACCTAAAAAGCAGTCACTTTTATGTACTGGCTTGTGGAATAGCGACTAAGAGTGCAACAAACTCACAAATTTTATTCCTTCATGAACCACTTTTAAACAGCCATCATGCTCAAATGCCAGCAGCAGTACCACGAGTGAACAGTACACAGCAATATAGGTTTACCAAGCTATTGTGCTTTCAGGAGATTTTACAGTACAAAAAACCCCCAGTGAATCTAAGAAGAAAAGAAAAACAACAAAGCCCAAGTTTGGCACCACTGTAACATTCTTCCACAGACTCCAAAATGAATTATTACAAGATTGTCCTTTAGATTTTGCAACAGAGAGTATGTGTTCAACATCAGAACTAGCTAAAGCAAATAAAATTGCCTCCCTCACCCTCCAAGTTGACAAATTCTGCAGAACCAATTACAGAGCCATGACAGTCACACATGGAGCAAAAAACTCTCATGGCAAGTGTTAGCCAAGACATTATTTACTGCAGACCATCAAGATAATTGGCTACAGTTATAATAAGTACTGCTGTCTACAAGGACTTGGTGTTACTTGAAACACTTATTTTCCAGAAGTTCAGGGAAGGAAAAAAAAAAATCAATTCTACAGTCATTAGACGAAAATTCTTAAACTGCAAACTTTGAGACTTCTATTTTTATACAGATATTTTTGGTTATGTGTTGAATGACTACCCCTTATATTTCAGGATTATTTTTATCCCATTTGAAAAACAAGGAAGTAATGCAAGAGCAACTAGGTGAAGAACAAAAGAAAGCTTCCAGCTCATATCTCTTCTCACACTACATCAAGCAGGTTGATAGTATCAGCAAGTGGAGAACTGCAAGTTCAGCTCCCTCCTTTTGAGGGATAGGCTCAACACAAGGAACACACACACTTTTTTTTTTGTTCTTGTAAAGCCTACAAACCAGCACCACTGACCCGCACAAAGAATACCCTATTTGAGAACGACTTCAATGTAAAAATCCATATGGTGGATTCTCTATAAATAGAGAAATAAAAATAGTCAGATTTCAGAAGGTGGATGTATTGTTTGAAAGAGATACATGAAGGCCATAGGGTTCCTACTGTTGTGGGGATGTTAAAACCTTTGTAACACCCCTTACAGGGCAATGAGAGCAGTACACATGAGAAGTCATCTTTCCCAACAGTCAAAGGACAAGCAGCTGTTGGTAATCTCCCATCCTTCCTTTTAAGGCTCATGCTTTCTTACCAACTTCTGAGAATGAAGTTTCATAATCTAATAAATTACACAGCAAAGAGATGAAAAATCCTTGCTCACCCTTTCTCCCCCATATACCTTGGGGAGAAGGGCCACCACAGCACGGTTCTAGTACTGCTCCTCCCAGGTAACACAAGGAACAGTGAACCCTCCTCTAGTATTTTATCAATCCCTTTCTCATCCCTTGAATCCATCCTTCCTAGGTAACTGTTGTAGCGCTCAGCCAGGACAAGCAATAGCTGCAGAGACACCAGAGCAGGAGTGACTTCATCATTTGATTTCAGTGCTCCTCCCGTCTTACAAATAAAAGCAAAAAGGCTGACAATAAACAAGTCAGGTTCTACTCCCTGGAAAAGGCCCACACCAAGACAGAGGTTCTAAAGATGTCCAAGAGACTCAGAAGATACCAGTCTATCAATTTTTACCTATTTCACGAGGACTCTTTTGTCCCAGCTTTAACTCAAAGGGGCTCAGAACACAACTGAGTATCTGTAGATATATAGATATATATAAAAAAAAGAGCAGACCAAACTCTCTGTTCACCACACAAGCACTCAATATCTGTCAATAGATACCTTGCTACATCATGTTACCAAGACTCCTGTTAAACCAGCAAAGGACCACCTTTGCTGACACCTTGGAATTTTTCTCACTTAAAAAGAAAAAAAAAAAAGAAAAAAAAAAGAAAAAAAAAAGAAAAAAGTTAACTTTCCAGGCTGTCTTACATGGATGGATTAACTGAAAATAGAAACTGCATTTCCCACAGAGTCCTTGAGTGTGGTTCTGTTGCTTTGTTCTGACATTTTTTTCCAGACAGCAGAAGGACCAGGAGCACATGACTAGAGCGACTGGGGGGGTTATCACAAGTGCATGCGCTTTATGCTACGGCCTTTGTTTCTCCCTCAGTGTTATACACTTGGGATTGAATCATATTTGCAAACTTGTAAGTCTGCATCAGTTAGCACCCTCTTCACAGGCAAACATCTGTGTAGTCTCTGACCTCAAATAAACGGGAAAGAAGCATCAATGACCTTTCAAGAATCAAACTGTAGTGCCTGAATAAGACAAATTTAGTTGCTGACCATGACAGGTTGAGGTCTCGCTTGCCACCTGCAGAAATACTGATCAACAAGACCTGCTTTCCATTCCACAGGCATATAAAGTAAAGCAATAAATTAAAATGGAGTCACCAATGTTTTTTCCCGGTACAAATCAATAGTCCTTAATAAATGCTACTGCTGGACCGGATCAAACATATGCTCTCATGCTGCTAATATGGGTTAACTGCACCCATGTTTTCTGAAGCGCTGCTGGCACACTGATCATGCAGATACAAGGTGGACTATAGGCCCCTGAGCCAAATGCTCTCTTCAAAGCCTCAACCGAAGTGGAAGACATTTCAGTGCAGAAAAATATCAAGATTTCTGATCTGTCAAAAAGCTCACAGTCTCAAAGCCCTTTGGCATGAAATGCATAAACTACGTGATAGATGCAGGCATGCTCCCACAGAGCCATGTCAGGTGTGGCTGTGCACGAGTATCAAATAGATCAATCGAATGGCAATGCATATCGAGCATTCCCGGTCCCATAAAGATGTCACCCTGCATTTCCGCAAGAAAAAGGAAAGTATCTCTGAAAACTACACTGTTCATATGAATCCGGAAGAACAATTCAGTCGTTAATGTGAACATATTCAAATCCGGAATTAAGAAATTCCCTATGATAAGCACATAGCCGATCTTTAGCGGCTCAGAACAGGGCCTTTTTGTATTCACAACGTACATTTGTTCCGATGTAATACATATTTTCAATTCACATACACCAGCTAACCCACCAGCTAAAATATGAAGGATGGGCACACACTAAGGACAATTTCTGACATGCCTGTGCAGAATAAAGCACAGGCCTCATTATTAAAAATATTCATCTGATCAGAAATTTGGAGAAGGAACGCCGAGCTTGACATGTGAGCCAATAGACTAGTTATTTCAAAATAACCATCTTCTCATCCCTTCTATTGAGTATTTTACCAGAGCCTGGAGGATATTAGAGACACCTTTTGTAAGATCCCCTCCCCCTCCTTTTTTTTTTTTTCTTTTATGGGCTGGACTAAAAGGTGCTCACACCCGATCTACGGGTGCATGGAAAAACCTTCCATGCTCTCTCCCCTTCAAAGCCAAGAGAGCTTAAAAAAAAAAAAAAAGCGCAGATAATGAACGTGAATGTCACGGTCATACCTGTGTGCCCGCAATTCGTTTCCTCCTTTCGAGGGAGGAGGAAGGGGGTGAGGGGGGGAATAAAAAGGAAATACAGGCTACGGAGCTCCCAATCCGTTTCACAAAGGGGGTAAAAAAATGGCTTTTTAACGAGCCAGAGGCCGCTGGCAGCGACCAGGAGCTAAGGACGAAGACAAACCCACCGGGATTTTCCGTCCAGCAGGCCCCGCACGGAGCGGCGGCGTGCGCCTATTCAAGGTTAATGGGGGGGGAAGGGGAGAGAAAGGAGCCGCCGAGGCCGGGGCTGGGGCCGGGCTCCCTTCGCCGCTCCCCGCCCGGGCGAAGGGCGGGGGGAGCCCCCGCGGCCCTCACCGCCCGATCCGAGGGGGGCAGGATACTCACGGCTGACTTTCATGCTGCCGAAGGCCGAGGGCTGCTGCACCGGCTTGCAGCTCTCCGCGAAGGAGGTGGTCCTGGGCCGCCCGGACATGGTCTCCCCCGCTCTGCCCCGACGGCGATCACCTCTCTCCTCTTCCTGCCTTCGCCCTCCGCCTCGCCCCGGCGGGCCCGCCTGCCGCTCCCTCGGTCGCTCAGCTGCAGGAGACGGGCGGGACGCGCCACATGAAACGCCGGGACCCCCCCCCTCCCCCCCCCCGGGGAACCCCCCTCCCCTCTCGGTCTCTGTCGCCCGGCGGCTGCTGCTTCTTCTCCTGCCTCCTCCTGCTCCTCCTCGCGCCGCCCGCTCCTCACACGACCATCCTTCCCGGCCGCGCCGGTGGGTCCGAGAGCCGCCTCCCCCCGGCGCCGCTCCCGAGCGAGGTGGGTTCGCTGGGCCTCGCTGCCCCCACCCCGGGCGCCAGTCACATGGGGCGGAGGCTCGCGGCCCGGCTCCTCCGATCCCGCCGCCGCGCTTCTCTCCTTTTATTTTATCTCTTTCCTTTTTTTTCCGTTTTTCTTTTTCTTCCTCCTCTTCCCTCCCCCGTCCCCGCTCCTCTCCTTCCCCCTTGCCTCTGAGGGAGGCGGCAGGCAACGGGACTATTTTTTCTCCCCCGGCGGAGGGATCTCGAGGGTACCGCCGAGCGGAGGCGATGAGGCTACTGCTCGCAATAGGATCCGGCGGCGGCGGCGGGATCCGCGGCGCGCGGAGGGGGGTGAGGCGGTCCGGGCGGCCTCGCTGCTCGCTGACGCTGCTGCTCAGTGCGGCGCTGAGGCGGCGGTGGCTCCGGTGGCCACGCTGCTCATTGCGCCCGCACGGGCACCTGGCGGCGGCTCAGGCTGGGCACGCTGCACTGCGGATGGCGACCGGCGGCGGCGACACAGGCCATGACGGCGGCGGCTTCCCTGCTCGTTTTTCAGCCCGGCTTCAGAGCGCTGGCGGCGGCGGTTGCTGCTGCTGCGGCTGCTGCTGCTTCCCGAGGCGCCCAAGGGACGTAGGACTCGCGCGCCCGGCTGAAGCCTCCCGCCGGGCCCCCCTCCCCGTTCCTGCCGATCGGTCCCTTTGTCCCCGCTGCTGCCTCCGCTGCGTGCCGGGCTCCCGCCGCTGCGCTCTGTGCGTGCGCCAAAGCCGCGCAGCCGCCCGTGGCTGCCGCCGCCCCACGCTGCGGAACGGCCGTAAGTGCCGTCTGTGAATACCCGGCCGAGCAGCCCCGGCGCGCCCGCGAGCCCCGGCCCGAGGCCCGCACGGAAACGCCCGAGCCCGCTCGGGACCAATGGCGGGGCCGTTACGGGAGTGCCCGTAACGGGTCGTGACCAATCACGGCGCCGCCGCGGGCGCGGCCAATACTCCCCGAAGCGAGGCGGACAGCCAATGAGAGCGCGCCGCCGCCGCCCTAGCAGCGCGGCCGGGCGGCCAATGGCAGGGCGGGCTCCCTTCCGGCTATCGCAGGGCCAACCCGAGCGGGGCCGGGGCAGGGCAGCCAATCAGCGACCGCGATGGCTCCGTCACACGGCTCTGGGACGGCTCCGAGCCGCAGCCCGGGGCGGAGCGCGGCCGCGGGCTACCATTGGCTCCCGCGGCGGAGCGCGGCGATTGGCTTGCGGCGATGAGGCCGCCCGCCGCGGGCCAATGGCGGTGCGCGCGGGCGCGGCCGCTCCCGCCGGGGCACGGCCGCTCACCTCTGCGGGGGCCGGGGCAGCGCCGCGCATGCGCGACTGGCAGCGCGAGCGGACACCGCCCCTCGGGCGCGACCTCGCGGGCGGACCGGCCCGCCGGGAGCGCGCCTGGGGTAGCGCGAAGGGAGCCCCAGAGCGGCGGGAGTTGTGCCTAGAATCCGTCAGGCACCGAGGCGCCGCGGTCCTACTTCGTCGAGCTGTGAAAGACAATGGTGCTGATGCGCACGGGGCTGTCACAGAATCACAGGATGCCTTGGGTTGGACCATCCAGTTCCAGCCCCGCTCCATGGGCAGGGACACTTTCCACAAGACCACGTCGCTCCAAGCCTCATCCAACCTGGCCTTGAACACTTCCAGGGACGGGGCATCCACACCTGCTTTGGGCGACCTGTTCTAGTGCCTCACCACCCTCACAGTAAATTTCTTCCTAAGATCTAAACTAAACCTACTCGCTTTCAGTTTGAAGCCATTCCCCCTTGTCCTGTTGCTATACGCCCTTGTAAGCAGTCCCTCTCCATGTTTCTTGCAGGATCCCGTGTCACTGTTAGGCCTGTGGTGTGACTGGGGGGGAACAGCCATGGACATGGCTCATGAATTGATGGCAACCCCTGGATTCTGCAGAAACTGTGCCGAATGGGAGAAAGGAGATCGAGGCTCTCTTAGAAAGTTCTCCCAATTCAGCTGTTAACAGCGAAACCTCCTCACAGCAAACACAGTTTGTATTGGAGCCACTAAACACCTTCATGGCCAGGTCTCGCCGCCACCGTGGGTAGATTGAGCTTGGCCCTGGCCAGAGTTCCAGGCATGCCAAGTTCCAGGTTCTGGAAGACCTTGTACTTCTTCAGGGCTTCTCTGAAGCCCTGGGGGGCACCCATTCTCAGCCCTGGCAAAGCAGGCGCTGGAGAACTGCTGCATGCTGTGACCTCAGTAAAATTACTCAGCAGACCTCAGCAAAAATTGAGCACCACTTGCTTATACCATTAAAAGAAAAAGTGTTCTTGCCAGAACAGTTTATACCACAAACAAAATAACTTGGGCTAGCAGAAGCATATTTTGCCAGTGTTGGAGACTAAGAGCTGCTGTTCTCTTTTCAAGGCATCAAAATATTGCCAGATTTCCTTTTTTTCTAGCCCCATTCTGAATACCATTGCTATGTGAGCAAACAAAGACCTGGCCAAAGGCAGCTAAAATTTATCCTTTATTAGAGCTGTTTTCCAAAGCAGAAAACAAACCCCGTCTCTCAAAATGGTCCTGTTCAGCATTTTGCTTGCCCCAGGGTGCTTGGTTTTCTGGAATCCTTTTTTCCTGCCTCCTAAATGATGAATGGTTTTATCTACTACAAAGGCCATGAGATCATTTAAGGTTTGATTCTTCATGATCTACCTGTGCAGCTGGGAACCTGACAGGTGAGAGTGGTGTTTCCTAACAAGGGCTAAAAGAGACGGTCTGAAGTTACTGCATCAGAGTGGTACTGCAGCCACCCCAAGCCACCCTACTGTACTCATCATTCCAGCCCCCCCTCTGAGACACCACTGTGTCAAACATTGCTGAGACACACTTTCAATAAAATGCCAACAGTGAAAATTAAATTTTCTCTCTTGTTTGGTAGAGCTGTTGTTAAAAATTAGGGCTACAGATTGGGTTAGTTCCCTGAAGAGCATTCTTACATAAAAAAGACAAATATGCAACCAGGCAGCGGCCAGCTCTCTTCTACCTGAAATGCACCACCAGGCATTCCAGTCATGAGCTTGAAATTTTTTCTGGCCTTGAGCATCAAAACACTAACACAAGTCACATTTTCTTACTTTCTGACAAAGTTCTTTCAAACAACTACATAAACAGGATAACTGAACTGACTTAGAAGAGACAGCCAAGCTTTGTTTCTTAAAAGGTGGCACTCTGAAAAACAGCAGGTGGGGAAGGGTGAGCTCTTTGCTTTTTAGCATTTCCTGTTACTCATAACAGTGGTAAATAAGAATCAGACCAATGCATAATTTATACTGATGGTGTCCATTTGAAAAATGTCCCTTAAAGCTTTGAAACAAGTCTACAACCTGATAATAAAAATGGGAAATCAACTTCATTCACTTACAGAGAACAAGGCTACTTCAGGAAAACAACTTTGTGCTTGTCCTCCTGTATCTAGTATAGCCCTTCCCTAAAATCACCCACTTTCCTCTTCAGTACCAAACCAATCAAAACCACAACTTGGTTGCTGCTAATGACACTTTTCTGAATACCAAGTCTATCCATCCGTTTGGGGAATGCATATTATAAAAATCACAGCTGCAATATTTCGTATTAGGCAATCTTGGCCGTATTTCCAAGTAATAATTAACCAGCCAAGTCTCCAAAGCCTGTCCATTCAAGTCATAGCATCTTCTCATCCACCAGGAAACCACACAAGTGTGCTTTAAAGGAGGATTATTATGTATTTGAAGGGATGAGAAACTATAAAGCATCTCCAATTTCTGTTAGTCTTTTCATAGATTGTTTCCTTAGCTAAGACTACTTGCAGAAAAACCCTAAACACACAATAAGGGTATCTGTTAGGCTTTCATCCTCAATTTCAAAAATGGACTGACAATTAAAATCATTTTTGAGAGTCATGAGTGAGCTAGTTGCTTTTTTAGACTGAAAGATTCTCTTTTGACAACACTGCAAAGTCCATATTTATTTTTGTCCCCTTGGCTGATGAAATGACCTCCGTTTAGAATCTGCAAATATAAATAGAATTGATGTTTTGATGATCATTTTTCACAAGCTGTTATAACCCAGCATCTCAGGCATTAATATTGTTCCAAATCTGGGTGCACTGGGCATTTTTACAGCTGCCCTGTTTCTGTAACATCCAAGTTCCCAGGGAGGCTGCCTGAAAATGTGAAGTGTCTGATAGAATTTACTAAAGTGTTGTCTCTCTGAAATGCCATAAGGTGGCAGTGAATTGGAAAATTGGTACAATTTCTGGTTAGAACAAAGCTTTAAGGAGCTCAGTAGAAGAGGAGAGGAGGGTTTTTGTTTGTTTGTTTGGGGATTTTCATTTGTCTATTTACATTTCATATACCCCCATAAACTTCAATCTGAATAGGTCTGCTTCAACATGAACCAACAGACATGTTCCTCCACAGGGAACTCCTGCTTTTTCTTTCTCCATTGCTTCCTTTTCGGGTGATCAGTAGGAATATTTTCTGTTTGATTACCTTGCAGCTCTTCCTGGGTCATTCCACCAAAAGCCATGGTGACAGGGCTACCTCCTCTAGCCTGATAAGGATGCAATCATTCAAGGCTGTTTTGAACTTTACTGCACTAGCGAATCAAAACTATATTAATGGATCTACCAGTCTTGTATCTAATTCCTTAATATTGCCAGGGCAATTACCCACAGAGCAATTTAGTGAGATATTGTAATGGCTTGTCCCTTGTTTGAGTGGCATGGGCAAACTCAATATTAATGGTTGAACTTTAACTTTGCTTTTTTTTCCAGTGGAAAATCAGAGATTGTAACAGTAACAAATTTACTGAGTGCCCAGGTGTTAATGATTAAACAATAAATCCTGAAAAGTGGTTTTGATTTTTGTCCCAGAACAAAACCCGAAGGAATCTATGTTTAGAACATACCAGTTGCATCCATGGTTCTGAGCAGGACAGAAGTTTTTAATCCAGAGAACCCAGTATTTTGCAATCATTTTCTGTCACAAAATATGTCATCACCAACAATTGCTTCAGAGGACAGCTGATGTTTTGCTGATCTGGATGTGCGTAGGTGCACCTAGGCCTCGCAAGACTCCAGGTAAGTTTGCCAATACTGATAAAGCCAAGTGGTCTCAACAGGTTAATGTAGCAGAAGTTACAGACAACTTCCGTATTCCAAATTTGCCGAGGAGTTGAATGAGCAGAGACACCAAATACAGGTTCATGGCAATATTGCGACACTTGAAAAACATCAGTGACTCAGTAAGCAGGAAAATGCGTCCTTCTGTGGAATTAAGTCCTCCCTGCTGGTGTTCTGCGTAGGTTTAACGTTGGTTCTATCCACTGGCTCTTGACAGAGGCATCAGGTTTCCCATTGTGCCAGGAGAACATCTTGTTCAGTTTGACAGTTTCCCTTGCCCCAGCATTTGTCTGACCACACCCTCTTCATAAATAACCCTTGAAAACCATGTTGTCCAGAGCCTGAGAAGCTCTGTCAGTCTAATGAGCTTTTGAGAAGTCTTCCAGATATTTGCTTTCTGGAAAGCAAAATTTATGCCCATTTCCTGAGACATATGAAAGGGTTGAAATGAGAAAAGTTATTGGACTCTTCTGTGTGTATCATCTTGCTCACATTAGATTCAGTCAAGCAGCCCAAGACTGACATCCATTTGCTCTCTCTGTACTACAGTATTGGTGGAAGGGCCCATGAGTGTCCCATGCTTACTAAAACCTTGCCTCCCCAATCAAATTCCAAACTGGCTGTTGAGGAGACTTTCAAAGAAAAGAGAGTGAAAGCCAGCCTGACTCCTGAG